AAAAAAAAAAAAAAAACGTCCCTCCGTATCTTATCTCTACGACAGAAGGAGGCACGCGGAGTAGCACAGAGATTCGTGCCTTGGTTCTTGGTGTATAAAAGTATAAAAACAAAATACGTTACACGAATTTAACCTATGAAAAAAATTTCGTACTTTCATATGTTCAATGGTGTCACCAAGAAGCTGCTCCTGATTCATCTTCTTGCCCTCCTCAACGAGCTCCGACATCTCTTGCGGAGTAAGTTCTGTTCCTAATGATCGTGATGCAAAGCGATTGTATTTCGCCTAAAGTACCATTTTCTGGTAAAATCAAGCTTCACAGATCTTAAATAAGAATTAACACATCTTACGTCTTCTACTGTAATGGAGATAAAGAACGCTAACCTTCCAAGTAGTATTAAGTTGATTAACATAAGCAACAATGGATAGATGATAGACGCTATCCTGTTCATCGTGATTGCGCCAAACTTTCGTGCCCCAAAAACGCGTTCCAGTTTTTGGACTAACTGTTTCAATTACTATACACACTATAAATATGATCAACGTTTGTTATGGAGATTAGCTAAAAATCGATACATTCAGTAAGGCAACTTTTTATACAGGCGTGTAGATGTAAAAGCGCATATTGGCAAGAGTTTGATGCATTACGGAGTTATAATTTCATTAAGCGCAATCTGCGACGAAGACAAGATTGATACGTTTGAAAAGGATAGCTGTCCACTTGGCACAACAAACCGATCGGAGGTATTTTTTTACCAGAAACGAATGTGGTAGAGAATTTCCAGAACAAGGGCACTTTTGGAAAATTTTCATAAGAAACACCATAGCACTTTTATGAGTTTTTTCAAAATTTGTTAAGTAGGATAGCACCAGAGAGTGAAATGGTTCTGCAGTTTTGTCCCGGAATAAACAGAAGTTGTCCATGCTCCATGATGATTTTTGGCATCAAAGTTTCAGATTCATAGCCCTTTACTTTTATTTTATACTGCAAGATTGCACTTCAAATAAGATCACAGTAATTTGGAGTAAGTTGCCTAAGATGATGCCAAGTTACCCACTTCTAGTGCATTGCTACTCGCACTGTCTTTTCAAACCACCATACCACTGTCGCTATTGGTTATCAAGCCAAACATTCATGAATTTGAATTTGCACGTCATACCGTAAGGATCTAAAAGTTGCTGCAAGTTTGCGGCTTAGAGATGGCCGGCGAGCGCCTTTCCAAAATTTTGGAACAAAACTTTGTTCTAAAGAACTTTTACCAACGCGCTTACAAATCTCTTCAGAAAAACTGAAACAACACCAGTGAAAGGCTGTCTGTACAGTTTTTATTGCGTTTATTAACTTTAAATTAAAGAGTGCTGTAGCTAATTCACACGCCTGCACACTGGTTAATCTTACCAATGATGGTGGCAAGCAGTAGGACGCCAATACCCGTGATGACGATAACAGGAACCGTCAGATTACGCCTTTTTCGGATACCGCATTTGTTCTTTTTGCTTTTCTTTCGTGATGCTATATAAGGAGTAGCATCATGAACATCCAACGGTGCACCTTCTTTTGCCTCTGCAACATTTTTGTCAATTTTTCTTCGTCGAACATTTTGCCTAGACACAAAACACTTCCACAGTTTGCATAAGAAATTTGGAAAAAAAGGGAGTTATATAAACAGAATTCTGAAGTGGAGAACTTCAAGTATATTTCACTTTCCAGTAATTGGAAATTCTGGTTATCTAGACTTTAGAATATATA